CAAGGTTTGCTCTCCTCAATGTGAGGTCTTTAACAAACAAAACCTTCATCATGAACAACTTTTTCTGGACAAATAATCTGGACTTCATGTTTCTGATGGAGACTTGGCTTCCTCCAGGTGAGTCAAGTGTGTTTTCTGAACTGGTGCCTGCTGATTGTACTTTTCTTAATTGCCCGAGGTCATCTGGAAGAGGTGGAGGAGTGTTGGCTGTTTTTAAGAAAATCTGGAAATGCAGACTGTTACAGACACCATCTTTTCAGACCTTTGAACTGCTGCATTTTGAACTGGGCCGCTCCAACCCCATGTTGATTGCGGTGCTTTATCGACCGCCCAAATCCTCCACAGGCTTCATCAGTGAACTGTCTGTCTTTCTCACTGCAATACTGTTAAAAAAAACCTACACTAGAATGTCACTATAATAAATATTTCATAATAATGGTGTGGACAGGATGGCTGTAAGGGGAGAAGGGAGGCCATCAAAAGAAAAAAAAAAAAAAAAAAAATACGACCGTGTGCTGATTCTAGGGGACTTCAATGTGCACGTCTGTTGCCCTGAAAAGCCTTTGGTTCAGGACTTTTTAAATCTGATCCACTCTTTAAACCTGGTGCAAAATGTTGTCGGCCCCACACACCATCAGGGTCACACTCTTGATATTGTTCTGTCTTGTGGTGTCTCTGTGTTAAATTTGGAAATTGGGGATGCTGTCATGTCTGATCACAAACCAATCTCATTTGTAATACCTCTTGCTCGTGTCTCTAAATCTCCCGCTCCACCCAGGACCTGTCGTATATTTAATCCTTCAACTGCTGCTTGTTTTTCCTCTGCCTTTATTACCACTGCTGCTACAACACCTGAAACCTCTGCCTGTGTCGGTGCTCAGGAGCTGCTTAGTAACCACAATGTGACCTGCACTAAGATCTTGGATCTGGTGGCCCCACTAAAAGTCAGGAAACCAAGGAGAGCCCAGTACCCATGGATGAATGAGACCACCAGGGCAGCGAGACGCCTGTGCAGAAGAGCTGAGCGCAGGTGGAAAAAGGACCATCTCCAGGTTTTCTTCATTTTGCTCAAAACCTGTTTAAAAAATTACCAGAACACTGTCAAATCTGAAAAAAAAAACAAATATTTCTCCCAACTCATCAACTCAAATAGACACAACCCCCGCGCCCTATTCACAACAGTAAATTCCATTCTAAATGTCCCTTCGTATTCATGTATGGAGGCCTCTGTTGACACCTGCAATGACTTCACTAAATTCTTTGTTAACAAAGTGGAGTTGATCAGGGCCTCCATCCCCCGCTCCTTAGTCAACCCATCAGCTTTTGTTTTGTGTTCTGCTACTTTCAGGCAATTCAAACCAATCACACTCCCATTGTTAAACAAAGTTGCTGGTCACATGAAGCCATCAGGATCACCATTGGACCCCATCCCAGCAGCATTGTTCAAACAGGTTCTACCAGCGATTGGGCCTGCTGTTCTAACTATACTAAACAGTAGTATTGCTACAAGCGTGGTCCCAGAGGCGTTCAAACATGCAGTAGTCACACCGTTAATTAAGAAACCTGGTCTTGACCCTTCAGCCTGCTCAAATTACAGACCAATCTCAAAACTCCCCTTTCTGTCCAAAATCCTGGAAAAAGTAGTTTTTACTCAGTTAAATCAGTTTTTAACTGAGAACAAAATCTTTGAGGTCCTTCAGTCTGGTTTCAAGCAGCTCCACAGCACCGAAACAGCTTTGGTTAGGGTTTGTAATGACATTTTAACAGCAAATGATTCTGGTCATTGTGTGGCTCTTGTACTCCTCGATCTTCCTGCCGCTTTCGATACTGTTGACCACAGTATCCTCATCTCTCGGCTTGAACACTGGGTTGGGATTACAGGTGCTGCATTAGACTGGTTCCGCTCATACCTCTCTGACAGGAGTTTTTGTGTGAAGGTGGGTAAAAATCTATCCACTTCAATGCCTCTTTCCTGCAGTGTCCCACAGGGCTCGATTCTTGGACCCCTTCTATTTTCGTTCTATCTGCTTCCGCTGGGGTCGATCCTAAGAAAACATGGTATTCCATTCCATTGCTACGCTGATGACTGTCAGCTCTACCTGCCACTGAAACCAGCCAGTGCTTGTTCCGTCCACCCTCTCCTCAAATGTCTGGACGACATTGACATGGATGGCTTCAAATTTTCTAAGTTTTAACGACCAGAAGACTGAAGTCATTGTCTTTAGTCCTAGCTCAGCTGCCGCCTCTTATCCTGTGAACCTGGACTCCCTTCAGCCTTATCTGAAGCAATCTGTTAAAAACCTCGGAGTGGTTTTTGACTCGGATTTTAAGTTCGACAAACAGATCAGTTCGGTTCTGCAGAGAAGCTTCTTCCAACTGCGGCAGGTGGCTAAGCTCAAGCCAGTGCTGTCTAGACCCGACCTTGAGACACTAGTCCATGCATTCATCACAACCCGCCTGGACTATTGTAATTCACTGTAAGCTGGGGTCAGCCAGGCCTCTATCTCACGGCTACAGCTCGTCCAGAATGCTGCAGCTCGGCTCTTAACCGGTACACCGAGGTATGAGCACATCACACCAGTTGTGTCCTCCCTACAATGGCTTCCTGTGAGAACTGGGATTGATTTCAAAATTCTCCTCCTGACCTATAAGTGCCTAAATGGCCTCGCACCCATCTACCTCTCTGAGCTACTGGAACCATATGTTCCCTCTCGGGCTCTGAGATCATCCGATCAGCTGCTTTTGGTTGTTCCAAAAACACGACTGAAGCTCCGAGGAGATCGGGCGTTTTCAGTCATGGGTCCCAAACTGTGGAACAACCTACCCCCCAACATTAGGCATGCCACCTCCCTTCCTGTGTTCAAATCCCTGCTAAAAACATATCTGTTCTCTCTGGCGTTTCATACTGTGTGAGTTGATTTAGTATATCTTGTTCCATGTCTTCATTTTAATGCTGTTTTAATTTTTAAGGTATATTCAATCAACCTTTATTTATACAGGTAAATCCCATTGAGCCTCGAGGACTCATTTACAAGAGAGACCTGATTTCAACAAAGAAAGATGACAACAATGGACAACAGCAACAACAATAAACAGTTATAAAAAAGCATACTACAGTTTTTCTTTTTTTTTTTTTTAACAAATAGGATGGCTAAAAGGAAAAGGTAACAAAAACAAAAACAAACAAACAAAAAAAAAACAGCTAGATTCCAAGACAAATGTAGAAATATTCTTACTGCTTTTTATTTCTTAGTGTTACCATTAGTGTTAAGCACTTTGATAACAGTCTATCGGTTTTAAATTGTGCTCTATAAATAAATATGACTTGACTTGACTAGTATCACTCAGCCCTCTGTGAGTAGTAAACAGCCATCAGGTGCTAATGATCCATTGTTAGGCTGATGGTCCTTCTTGATCATGTGAGCAGCTGGTTCTGGTTGTCAGCAGCAAACTGGTTGATCCACTCTGAGAAGGTGCTATTTTTAAGCCTGAGTTTGTTGCAGCTCCTCAGACTGAATAAGTATTTTGGATTAAAGACGAAATGTTTCAAAAATTCTTTATTTTAATTTTTTACTTTCTGCATCCGTCCAGAGGACCTGACTTAACTTTGTTAGCTATATTCACATTTTTTTAATTTTTAGACCTGAAAGTTTGAGGCTTCAGCCTCTGTCAGAGCTCCCATGAAGAATTTAACAGAACACCTCATCTTAAATTAATCACAGCATGAAAAACCTAAGGATGTCTCTTTGGGTGACTTTTGCTCTTAAGCCCGGATAAAGGTTGGACTTGTTGCATCAAAAATCAAGAATTGACAGAGCAAAGTTCATTTGTAGTCCTAAACAGGTTAAGATTTTTTTCCTCACTTCCTGTCTCTTCCACAATGTTTTTCCTCCCTCCTACATGTCCTAAATTAGGTGAAGATGGTATTTAGGACAGCCAAAGGTTGGTCACACTGCCAATGACATAACAGTCGTCACCATCATGTTCATCAGTGTGAGGGAAACATGTTAATTCATTCAACCTTTATTTCTACAGGTTAATCTGACAGCCTCAGGGACTCATTTCCAAGAAAGACCGGTTTGGCAAAGCCATTAGGCATAGCAAGTACAGAAACTTGGGATGTCCTGAATAGGAAAGAAAGTACTGGTGTACTGAGCAACAGACGTCGAACAGATCGGCCAAGGAAAACAACAGTAGTTTATGACAGAAATATTGTGTGAGCTTTGAAGAACCCCCCCCCCCCCCAAACATAAGTGACAACACCAGTGATCTCCACAGTGCAGGGGTGAAGGTATCACGATCCACTGTTTGAAGAAGACTCCGAGAGCAGAAATATAGAGGCCATAGCCAAAGATGCAAACCACCCATCCATCAGTAGTAAGAATTGGAAGGCCAGACTAAAATTTGCAAAGAAGTGCAGAGATGAGCCACAACAATTTTCAAACACAATCTTATGGACTGATGAGACCAAGATCAATCTGTACCAAAGTGATGGAAAGACCAAAGTGTGGAGAAAGAAAGGAACTGCTTATGATCCGAAGCACATGCACGTTGTGTGCTTGAAGGTAGAAGATCACATGTAATGTATGTCCAGTAAATACAGAATGGGTAAAATGACGTTATATTTCTCTGTAAAAATCAGCCCGGATGAATTTGTTGTGTGGTGTAAGCAAGGTGTACTCTTAGGCCCACTTAAAAGATTATGTTTGAGTACAGACAGTAGAAACAAACATTAAAAATGTCCAGCAGCAAACCATCTCTGAGGATTCTGCTCAGATCTCATTGGGTTGGCTTCTTCATTGTTTGTTTGGAGTCCATCTTTAAACCTCGAGTGTTTGCATCTGAAGCTGCATGATCCAAAACTAGTGGTTCTGAATCTGCCTGGTCTTTTGCAGGTTCTGTGTTCCTTACATAAAGCTTTAAGAGTTTCTGTAGAGCTGGGTCTGTGTGAACAAGAATGTCGATGAAAGAGCTGGCGCCCCGAAGCTCGCTCACCTCAGCTAACACTGGTAGTGAATGTGCTGGTGCTGGTGCACTTTCCCGTCCAAGTGCGAATGTGTGTGCGTGTGAATGTCCGTGTAGATCTTTGGGTAGACCTTGGGAGCCAAGCCAGCTCCTCCCTGAGCCGGGAGCAGCTGCTGATGAGCAACGTATTCCTCATATGAGAGACAGTCTTTATCTCCGGCGGCCGTCTGAGAGGGGAGCGTTGGGCGGTCACGACCAGCCACAGGGAGACGCTGAGTGGCAGGGAGAGCGGAGGAGGAGGTGTGTTTTGACTGGTAGAACCAGAGCAGGGTGGTGCCCAGGATGAAGGCGACGCCTGCAGGTATTCCAATAATCACGGGCCAGGGGAGGCTCGGGGATGTTGGAGCGGGAACAGTACTGGGCTGAGACTTCTTGTCTGCAGTGAGAGATGCAGAAATGATCATCAACTGAACAAAATGCACGAGAACAACATTAAAATGAAGAAAATGACATCTAATTGAAGGTGTGTTGGTGAGGACAGGTACAGATCTTTGTCCCAGTTGTTTCAAAGAGGACGTTCAGGTGTTCTGCCTCTGACCTGGCAGCACAGTGAGGTAGGCACTCCTGAAGCTGTAGCCCATGGTGTTGGCTCCCAGGCAGATGTACAAGCCAGCATCCTCCTCCTTGGCTCTGGTGATGAGCAACTTGTTCAGGTAGGACCCATCAGGTCGTGACCAAACCTCTCCTGTGGGCAGCACTATGAAGCGATGGTCTCCGACCTTCAAAGGAATCCAAACCAAGTTAATCTATGGTCCAACGTCGTAACCAAAACTTGGACAGCGTGTGTTCCTACCTCGATGGTGGAGTTGAACTTGTTCTCATCCCCAGGTTCAACTCTTTTCAGCCACTGGATAACAGGCTTGACGTCACTGCGGACCTTACACTGGAAGGACGTGGTTCCTCCGTAGTCCACCGTAGTGTTGACGGGGTGAGTGCCTGTTAGGATGGGCTTGGAGTTTGTGCGTTCTGCATAAAGACACAGCTCGGTTGGACTTAACCTTATGTATGTATGTGTGTAATAGAGTGCTGTATGAATGTGTGTGTAATAGAGTGATGTATGTATTGTGTAATAGAGAGCTGTATGAATGTGTGTAATAGAGTGCTGTATGAATGTGTGTGTAATAGAGAGCTGTATGAATGTGTGTAATAGAGTGATGTATGAATGTGTGTATAATAGAGAGCAGTATGAATGTGTGTGTAATAGAGAGATGTATGAATGTGTGTAATGGAGTGCGGTATGAATGTGTGTGTAATAGAGTGATGTATGAATGTGTATAATACAGAGCTGTTATGAATGTGTGTATAATAGAGAGATGTATGAATGTGTGTAATAGAGTGCTGTATGAATGTGTGTAATAGAGTGCTGTATGAATGTGTGTAATAGAGTGATGTATGAATGTGTGTAATAGAGTGTTGTAT